ATTGAATGTTCACCGAGCTCAGTAAATACGGCGATGCTGCGATCACTTTAATTATATGCACAAAAAATGCTGTTTCGGGTTTTTTGCACAATTGTGTATTTAAAATTAACACAAATTCGCCATAATAACTGCGCTGAGTGACCATTCACATTGCAACGTGAGCAGTCTCTGTTGTCTATATTGAAAATGTTTTACACACCTGCTGATTACCTATACAACACTATACACACTATACACAACATAAACACTATACACACTGTACACAACATAAACACTATACACAATATACACACTATACACAACATAAACACTATACACAATATACACACTATACACAACATAAACACTATACACAATATACACAATATACACAACATAAACACTATACACAATATACACACTATACACAATATACACAATATACACACTATACACACTATACACAATATACACACTATATACAATATACACAATATATACAATATGCACAACATAAACACTATACACACTATACACAATATAAACAATATATATGCTACACTATAAACAATATACACAATTTATACATGATACATGCAATACATAATATATACAATAGACACAATATACACCATGTATATAATATACACGCTATACACAATATACATACAATATATATAATATACACAATATACAACCTGATAATTTGCAGCAACCACAACTACAAAACACACACCGGATGTTATACATTCCAGAAAATATATCTTACAACTAACACACACGTCTGCTCACAACACCTGAAGTACACTGTCACACAATATTCAACCTTCTGGAGTTTATATTAGAAGCAAGCTTTTGGTTTATACAATAAAGCTACACAAACTGTTAATATACAACCTTCTACACTTATATCTACACAATGCAACCACGCAAACTGTTAAACAATAAAAATGGCTTCTACACTGTATAATATGCAAAATATACAAATTGTAACACAATTTACAACCTCCAACACTTTGCTGTATAACATGCAACTATACAAACTGTAACACAATATACAGCCATCTACAATTCACTGTATACAGTGTAAATACACATTTTTACACATACTTCTCTGTATAGAATGCAACTACACAAACTGTTATATAATGTAACATTTCTACAATACATAACACAATTAATTACACAGTATGCAAACTTCTACAAATCACACTACTAGCATTCCTAACAACTGAAACATTTCAACAACTACACAAGCTGTTACACAGTGAACAAACATTTACTTTTCAGTTCCTGCCATGCAAGTACACAACTAGTTATAGAATGCACAACATTCTACACTACTAATCATAAAAGACAGATACACAAATTGTTACACAATATACAACCTTCTACACTTTGATGTAAAAATCCAATCACACAAACTGTTATACAATGTACAATCTTCTTCAAATCTATGTATACAACTAGTTATAGAATACACAACATTCCACGCTACAGATAATAATATACAGATACACAAATTGTTAGACAATACACAACCTTCTAAACGTTGATGTAAAAAAAGACACAAACTGTTATACAATGTACAATCTTCTACAAATCTCTGTGTACAACACAACTAGTTACACAGTGTACACCCTTGTACACGTCATACTACTGGCATGCCTCTGGTTTAAACTACACGAACTGTTACACAGCAAACAAACCTCTACACTTCACACAATGCAAGTACACAACTAGTTATAGAATACACAACATTCTACTGTACAAGTCATACAATGCAGATACACAAATTGTTACACTATATACAACCTTCTACAAATGCAACCACACAAACTGTAATAAAATAGCTTCTACACTTCGCTGTATATAACATCCAACTATACAAACTGTAACACAATATACAATCTTCTACTCTTCTCTGTATACAAATATTTTTACACACACTTCTACACTGCACTTTAGGCAATTCAACTGCTTACACACACCGAGGCACCTGCACTGTACAAAGCTTTCAATGTGCTGCTACAAAACTACACAACCTGCAACTGCGCACAGCCGCCGACACCGAGCTGAGTGACAGGGCAGACAGTTCACATTGCACGGTGACCCCGGACACACTTTGTGATCTATAATGTGTCACTCGGTGCGCGCAGCTCCACAATTCACCGACAACAACGAAAAAGTGCACGAAAACATCCTTCCGATAGGAACAACAACAATAAATCATCTCGATGCGCGTTAAATAAAACAAATAATAACAGAAACAATTTATACATCGGATTTAGTTGGAAATAAAAATTAAATAAAAAATCTTCAAAATTGCAGAGTGAAAAATAAGAACCCCGAGTGCAGGTTCGGGGTCCAAAAGCAGCCCCAGAGGCGGAGGGCAGTTACCTCCAGAGCCGGTGTGTGTCCGGGGACCCTCCTGATGGGGCAATTTCTCCATTGTGCCCCCAGAAATGCCCCTCCGAGCCGCCTGCACCCTCTGTGCTATAGCAGCAGCCAGCGAATTAATGAGCGCCGACGCTCCATGCTCGCTTCTTTTATTTCAGCTAAACAGATGAAAATGTATGCTAATTTAAATCAAGCTTAACCTGGGAGCACCCGCAATATATTTCATGGAATTTCCAAACCAATAAGCGCTCTGGTGCTCCTTCTATAAGTGCAAATATAATTAGTTGTCGGCTCACCTCCCAATTCTGCAGGAAAAGGTCATTTGTGAACCGACAGAGACGAGGAGCGGCGGCAGAACCGGAGAGACGCGGAGCGGCGCGGGGGGATCCGCCAAAGCGGAGATTTATTCGGTGCAATTCGCGGCTTTTCGGCTAAATGT